CTCCCCAAAGCCCCAGTACATAGTTGTATATCCTAGTTGTAAGTCCTAGTTCTTCTATGTGAGCCACCGCCACAGCATGGCTACTGACAGACGAGTGGTGTGGTTCCGCACCGAGAAGCAAATTTGGGCCGCCAAAGCAGTGAGAGCATCGAACTTGAACCGCTAGGCCATCAGGGCTGGCCCTGTGTGTACGATTTTCTGCTGCATCCCCAGTGCCTGGAATACTACCTAGCTCAATAAATGTATGTTGAGTGAAGAATGAATGAATCATCATTCTCATCAGCATCATTATTTGATGATAACCATAAAGCAAAAACAGTAGCTGTTATTGTTGCTACATTTATAGCTGCTGTTTCCTAAGTAGAAACAATGTACCAAGAATTGGCTAAGCAGTTGCTTGTTTAAGCCTAGGAGGTGAGTACTGTTATCACCTCTATTTTTCAGATGGGGAAACTGAGGCCCCACGTGGATCAGCCCGTGTCTGGCTCCGAAGTCCAGGGGTTTAGGCTGAGTGGAAGGACAGCCCGGCGGTTAACAACTCAGCATCTGTCCCCATCACAGGTTCGCATCTCAGCTCTGTCAGTTACCAGCCGCGAGCTTTAGAAAGTCGCTGTCTCTCTGCGGGTCTCAGTTTCCTCGCGTGTCCAATGGGGATCCTGCTGTCGTAAGCCTCCTTGATTGATTCAGTGCCCACCTCCTGCGGGTGCGGCCGGGAGTAAGTGGCCGTTGCCAGCGCAGGCGCGGAGAGCCCAGTCTGCGCTTGGGGAACACGTGCCAGGTCCCTTCCTTCCTCCTCATCAGCCTGGAGGCGAGAAAGCAGAAGGTCTGATCCCAGTCACCAGGCTCTGTCTCTGGCGCGCGGCCCCCGGAGGTCTCCTGGGCAGAAGCAGCTCCGGGGTGAGGACGAGTGGAGGCTGCTGCCCGGCGAGCCGAGGAAGAGGCGCGCCCCTGCCCGGCAGCCCCGCTCCGGGAGGACGCCAGCATGGCCGGAGCCACTCTCTGGGCGTGGCCGCAGCTGCTGCTGTCATTGCTCTCGGTGTCCTGGGCGCCCCTGGGAGCCGGTGAGTGACCCCGCGCAGTCGGGCGGCCCCTGCTCCCCTCTCCCTCCCCAGCAGCCGCGCACTGGGTCTCCTGGGTTCCTGAAGGCTGGGGGCGCTGCCCTTCGCGCGCCCCCCCCACTCCCCTCCGCCCCAGGGTTGGAAGCCCATGGGGCGCGACTCTCCTGTCTGAAAGCCATGGGGACATTTGTGAAGGCTGAGTCATTCTCCAGGAAAAACTCAGCGGAGGGTGATTCATGCCAGGCACCTACCTCCCTGCTCCCCCGTATCCCCACCATCCTTCCCAGACCCCCGCAGCCTGCTGATCACGACACAGGATGCTTGACGTGGGGAAAGGGGGGCAGTGGCACAAAACCCGGTGCGCCTTCTGACGCCAAACATCTGACTCTAAGGGTGTGGCCATTCATTCATTCATGCGTTCATCTCAGACACGTTTATGGAGGGCCTACTGTGCATCAGGCAGTGTTCCAGGGACTGGGGATACAGCTCTGAAGTCAGACAGCCCCAGGGTTGAAAACAGCTTTCCGCATTTAATAGCTGTGTGAGGTCAGGAAAGTTACCCAAGCTCTCTGTTCGCATAAGCAGTGTTGGGGGTGGGGGGAATCCTACCTGCCTTGTAACGAATCTTGGGAGGATGCAGAGCAATGTCTCATGTGGTGGGTAAGAACAACAACGATAATGGTAATTCAAGTGGGCAATCATCATACCCGATGAAGCCAGCAGCCCTCATCTCAGCCTTTCCCAGAAGGCGATTTTCAGAACTCTGGGCATTTCTCCAGAAAAGAGGTTGCTGAGGCTTAGGAATTCACCAAGAACCACCGACCTAATGCCCTTTCAGGACATTCCCAACATGGGTCATACTGTGGCCCCCATTTACAGATAAGGAGACTGAGGCACAGAGAGGGGATTGCCCGGGGCGCCCAGCAGGAAGTAGCAGCAGAGCCTCCTCTACCGGGGCAGGAGAGTCTGGTGCCCGAGAGCTTGGGCGCAGCGTGGGCCAGGCCTAGGGCTGGACCCCGGCTCTGCCTCTCACTTGCTGGTTAGCCCAGGCCAGTGGCTTGCCTGTCCGAGGCTCACTTGGCCCCTCTGTCCGATGAGGATGAAAATACAAGTGCAGATCTCATGGGGCCGTGGGGAGGGTTGGAGGAGACCACACAGAAGGGAGAGCTCAGTGCTGGGTGTGGCTGTTCCATAGGGAACACGCCCCTGAGAGAAAGGCCATTTCACCCAATTCCAGCCTCAGGGCAGCCTTGCCCTGGAGGAGCCCTTGCCCTCTGATGGAGGAAGCCACCAGAGAAGGAGATGCACCTGCCCAGCGCTGCACAGCACATCACTGATAGAGCTGGCACTCGAACCCAGACTAGCGTGCTCACCACTCCCAGGTCCCCTGTGTCCAAACTGTGCCCTCCCTCCACACAGTACGGTCCATGCACCCCTGTCCCCTGCCTCTGGCCTCCTCTTCCTCATAACGACAGTAATGATCATATTCATCTTTATCGAGCACCTGGCAAGTGCGAGTCCCTTTACATAGATTTCATCATTGAGTCCTCCCAGCAATGCTATTTAGTTATAAACAGCCCCATTTTATAGGAAACAGGCTCGGGAGTGAAGCCGCCTGCGTAAAGACCCACAGAGCCAGGGTGTGACAGGACTGGGGCCAAAGAGCTTAACTCCTTCCCACCTTCCCCATGATCCTTATTATCACTAATAAGAATGCACAGCTTGGTGTTTACTAATATCTGTAAGAGCCTACACGCATTGAGGACTACTCTGTGCTGGGGCCCTCGGCAGGAAGACTTTCACATGGAGCCTGGTGGAGCAGAGGTTAGGACTTTTGACCGCAGCCTGCCCAGGTTCAAATCCCACCTCTGCCACTTACCCTCTGTGTGACCTGGAGCGAACGACTCTGTGCCTCAGTTTCTCCATCTATAAAGTGGCGCTTTGAGGAGCTGCTTAAGGATTAAATGCTGACAGATGTGTCAAGTACTCAGAACAGCCCCCGATCTGTGTCAGCAACCTGTGTTAACTGTTAACAGATCCATTTTACAAACTAGGAAAAGGAATCTGTGAGGTTAAGGAACCTGCCTGAAGGCTGACAGCGGAGAGCTGAAGGGATCCAAACCCTTGGGCTATAATCGCCCCCCTTCTTGTGCCAGGATCCCTTACAAACATTCTCCCATCCCGGGTCCACAGAGTAATAACAATAATATTGTATTTCGTGGATTCTAAGACCTAGAGTTTCTTCCCCTTTTCCCACCTCTAAATCGGAAACGCTCTAAGCACTTCCGCGGAGTCGTGCTGTAAATGACAGCGTCCCAGTGCCTCTTGGAATTAATTAATGGATGATGCTGGGGTGATGCAAAAGTTCTGGAACTAGACAGCGGTGATGGTTGCACAACATCGTGAATGTACTTAACGCCACTGAGCTGTACACTTTAAAATGGCTTAAACGGCAAATTTAATTTTTTAACCACAATATTTACCACCATTTTAAAAATGGAGGAAATACGGTAATAATAGCCCAGTGAAGCGGGGCGACCCCCTTGCAGACTGAATCCAGCCCCC